AGTGGTTCCCTTGCGTAAGCAGGTGTCTAACCACAGAGATTATCTCTTTCCACGTCCTGAAAATGCCTATCAAGCGCATTTTGATCTTAGGACTTGCGCCAAGTAGGCTTATGCCCGCCCACCTGCACGTCTCCCTCTGGCAGACTCGTTATTGGAGGCTCCTCCCATGATTATGCGAAGTGCAACGCCTTATTTGGACATGGTGTTGGGTACAGCGAATCTTCAACTTTCTCAAAAATGTGCGATAAGGGCACTGAGCATGCCCTACGAGCCTAATGCCACACCCATGCCACATCCATTACCTGAAGTCACTTCTAACATTTCTAGAAGCTCTGTGGTGGCGCGGCTCTCCCGCCAACTAGTTCCTTCCTTTACGAGGGGTGGTAGGGGGGGGGGGATGACGTGATAAGAGGAGAGAGCTAATATCGTTGTGAGGCCAGCAACTTGAACTCGTCCAAATACGCCCTCTCTTCGCCATATGCTCTTCTATCAGTACTGGATGGGCATTTCGGAGGTCTTTTCTGCTGTTCTTTTCGCTATTATCATTTTTTCATATTTCACTTCATTACCTCCCTTCCCCACCTGAACGTACTATCCAAGTGAAAAGGTCGTAAATGGAGAGTCCTTGTGATGAAAGTAACGTGGTAGGGGAAAAGAACGGATATCGTCATGATGCCAACGAGCGGGATCTCATCCAGCAGTCTTCACAGTGTGTCATTAGTTTACTGAATTGAGGGGGCGTTATCTATGACATTTTCTACAGGTTTCCCAGCATGGTTTTTATTCGTGTTGCTTGTGAAGAGAATTATTCGCTATTCTACATCTAGTAAGAGCATGGAACCATCGTCACTGATGGACATCTGCGGCCTTTCTTCTTTTCTGCCAAAGCGACGAAGGCCCTGGAAGCGTTCCTGTTGTCTCACCCGCTCTAGGTGAAGAAGCGTCAACAGAGGGGGCGTAATGAAACAATGTAAAGTGTGAAGTAAAGTGTAAGAATGCATTTGACTAATTATATTGGTAAAAAGGTGTCGGGAAGATAATACATTTGACTAGGGACGTGAGGTGTTCTGATAATCACGCAGTTTCGAGGTTCTGCACACAGGGTACAGCATCGTGATGTGTGAAATTGCGGTGTCAGTACGACTTCTTCCCCTCCCCCGCAGAAAAGGGTTCCGGTACAATCCCCCCTCCCCTTTACAGCTCTCATTATTTGCTCTGACGAGAAGGATTAGATAAGTGACTAGCAAGCATGATTCCATGGCTTAGCGGTGAAGCAGTCTGTTAGCGGGTATGAAGGTTTTTTTCTGGAGGTGATAGCTTTTTTAGGTGTGGGGCTTTTGAGAATGGATAGCGGCAAAATATGCTAAACTGCGGAACGCCCAACCCAACTTCTGCTCCTTCCAGCAAGCTCTACAGTTTTCCTGAAGTCCCGTTAGTTTGGAAGATATTTCAGAGGGGTCACCCTCGGCCGCCACTCAAAAAGTCGATTCCTCCTGTGCGATTTTAGGATACTCATTCGCAACTTCAATATGCCTTCTAAACACATATTTCCGTCGAACTGAGTTAAACATAATTTGGATATCATCGATCGATTTGGTCCGAGGTGCGCCGTGCATTACGCTTCTACGCAGAGGTGGTGGAAAGGTGTAACTTCTGATTTTAGGTGATTTTTGTCCATGCAAGCAGATATTTACTTCGAGTTGAAAAGGTCGATACGCGCGAATCTGTTTATGAACTATTTAGTCATTTACGTACCCATGAGTTCATGCTAACTATTGATACTGCTAATCAAATGCTTCAATATTTTGTAGTCTTCCTTACACCCGGCTCCTCTGCACTCCATCCCTAGCGATGACACTCTTGGGCTGTTTGATGCTCACCGACCCTACATTAACGCCCTCATCTCTCCCAGCGGCCAAGTACGACCCCTTGATGGGTTTGGCACAACGATGCTATACCCTGTCTTCTGGGTAAAGTCCATTTGCTCCCTCCCCATGGAGAGGTGAAAAGTGAATGTTCTGAACCATGAGTAGAGGAGGGCAGTTTTTTATCGCTGTTTCTACAGTTGAACGGTATACAATCCTTAACTATCTTTTCAATATGAGTAGACAAACGGGTTCCAAACGGCATTTTCTGCTTGTAGGTCTTGGCAGGTGCATTACTAAAGAGACTTTGAAGCTGTTAACCGTCGATGTCATCACATCAGACTATTTTGGATATTTGTCTGTTGTTCATTTTAGCGGAGAGGTGTTTATTGTTTGGCTAAGCTTCTGGTTATCTATTCTCGCGTAACTGATCGAAAATCTGAACGTTTCACCTATGGGTATCTAGGCTGGTCAAGTGATTTGCTGAAAGTCGCGACAGCAGCTGAGAGTGAGGAAGCGAGCTGTTCAGAGAACGTTCAGGATCACGAGGCAGATGTAACAAAAATAGAGATACCAACCTTGCGCCCACCCAATGTTTCCGTGGTCTTTCATGTTTTAAAGTACACCTCTTCACATGATTGATGAACATTTATCGTCATCAGTCAATGTTCACCATTCTGTTATCCAGAGGGCGATACTTTTTCTGAGGATTACATAGGTATAGAGAGAAATTCAGTGTTCTATTCTTATCACCAGCTGTCAGATATCAGAGAGGTCATGTGATTCGGGAGTGTGTTGAAATGGGGCAGCCGATGAGTGACTCGGCACTCGCCCCGATGATCACGCTTTTCATGGACCCTCTGAACAAGCGGTTAGAAACTCTTTGTCGTTGCAGCTGAGCGATCCGAATTTCTTTCACTTACTGCAAATGCAAACGAACAAGTTAGTGGTGCCTTCTTGGGTTACTGGACGATAAGGGGGGGGGGCGCACAAGTAGTACAGGTGGTGATGACGATGGTGGGAGCCAAAAGTGTGGGTCTCATCTGGATCCGCTTGGGCTGCGTGATCAACCCAGATTAACGAAATTCCAAAAGTATCTTTTGTTGGCTGTCCGAGGCATTTTTATTGAAAGCTTGCTTGTCAGCGCAAGGTGGTTAGCGCTACATTCAACTTCTGGCACTATTTCCGCTTTACCGCTCCAATCATCCGAAATCAGGCCAGTTTTTGACTGACTTTTTCTCCGAGGGGCTCTTTGCCAAAAAGTTATTCCCAGAGGTGGTTTGACCTCCTCAACACAAACATCCCATACGCTTGGTTGGAAAACTCCTGGCCCCGTGTCGCACGCGCCTGCTCCAGAATACCGTGCATCATCTGTGCACAATCTTGTTCCAGTAGTACTTCGACCTCCTGAAAACGAATATTGCATCTGCGGGGGGGGGGGGGTGTTAAGAAAGGTAAGGATAAAGTGAGGTCATGATAGCGCAGCCTGCTTCTGCTCTTGCACCCCTCACCGAGATGGCGATCCCTTCTCTGCTAAGTCTCACTCTTATTAAAGGTGATCCCATCACAGGCTACCAGGAAGATGCTGCCTTTTCTCAGCCTGTCCCAGACTGCCCTAGCACACTGCCACGAATCCGATGCGAGTTTGTGCACACACGCTGGCGAAACAAGCACGTGATGCGTCGCTGGTGACGTGCGCGTCAGGCGGAACGGGTGGTATAATTGTGCTAAAGGGATCGAACTACCTTTCGGAACGAATTCCAGCGATTTTGATGATATCAGGCTTTGGACCAAGTGGATGTAACATTTGTGTCAAACTACCTCTGGGAACAACTTTTTAGCCGAGTGTCACCTTTGACAATGAGAAAAAAGTCGGTCAATAACTGGCCTGACTTCAGATGATAGGGGCAGTGAAGGGTAAATGGTGTCCAACACTTTTCCATGGCAAAGCCTCATCATTGCTGCTTGTGGTGTAGCACAAAGAATTTTGTGGACTTCGAGAACCACCGCCACACCTTCATAAGTCTAACGAAGGGAATGGTTTGAACTTCCCATGGAACTTTGAATGGAGACCTAGGTACATCGATAGAGCCTCGAATGCTGATTACGAATATGCAGATTAAAAGTGCTACGGGGACCTCCCAGACGAGATCTGGGTGGTCAAAGTTTGCGAAAAGCCAGTTTTGCGTAGTGCCTGCTGATGCGATGCGCTTACGCGGGCAGTGCCGACCGTGGACCTCGGGTAATGGTCCTGCGCTTTCAAGTCCCGGACGCGTGGCCGGGTTTGCACAGACCAGGTTGGCGCGAAATTTTTGCTTCGCTCCGTATAAGAGCTTCAACTCTAATTTTCGAAATTCTTCCGAATTTACGGCCCAGCAGGGCAAGTAGATCAAGTACATCAAGTATACGACGTACTCGATCTAGTATGGATTTGGTCATATCTGCCCTCTCTGAACATATTACCCATCCGACAATTCAAAGGCCCAAGATCGCAATTTGGCCAGACGAGCGTTTTTCGTCGAAGGAATGTGATATTCGTGTTCAGGGGGTCGAAATCTCCCATGAACGAATTTCTCGCTAAAACTTTGAATTGTCGGATGGGTAATATGTTCAGAGAGGGCAGATATGACCACATCCATACTAGATCGAGTACGTCGTATACTTGATGTACTTGATCTACTTGCCCTGCTGGGCCGTAAATTCGGAAGAATTTCGAAAATTAGAGTTGAAGCTCTTATACGGAGCGAAGCAAAAATTTTCGCGCCAACCGGATGCAAACCCGCATGCGTTTGACTTGAAAGCGAGACCATTACCACGAGGCCACGGTGGCACTGCCGAGGCATCGATCAGCAGCGCTTACGAGCCAGAACTCAAACTTTGACCACCCAGATCTCGTCTGGGAGGTCCCCGTAGCACTTTTAATCTGCATATTCGTAATCAGCATTCGAGGCTCTATCGATGTACCTAGGTCTCCATTCAAAGTTCCATGGGAAGTTCAAACCATTCCCTTGTAAGGTATAGTTTATTACGTGTGCATAATTTATCTGAATGGAAAGATTCAACAAATTACTTAATGCCTTTTAGTTTTTAAAACATAATTGGAAGAACTGACAAAAAGCTCTCAAAAATTCGTTTATGCAAAACTTCTCCCATGTAAGTAGATGATTGAAAATCGTTTTTTCTTTTTTGTGAATAAGGGCTGCATACCTTCGTCTTTTTCATTATTTTGAACAAATTACTTCAATGTGGCTTTTCCAGGAACGATTCAAGTGAAATATGTACCAAAAAAGAAAGGCTCCCATGAGTTGGCTATCGTTCAAGACGGAGCTCATATTGCGGTAGGATTTTCAGCGGCTTTAAACATGTACGTAAATGATTCACGAACCTTTTCAGGGAAGCCCACTTCGTTTTTACGTTGACCACTACGGTGCCGGCTATGCCACTGTCTATGGGCCCGGTCTGCAGAACTCGATCGTAGGCGAACCAGCCGCTTTCACAGTTTGCGCGAAAGGTTCCGCAGCCAAAGAGTTGTCCGTGAGCATAGAAGGGCCCGCACAAAGCAGGATTAAGATCCATGACAACAAGGTGATTGATGTGTTCCTTGGAGTTATTCTGCTGGCCACTTTTGAGTCTCGCTGTAGTCCTGAATTTTCTCAAAATTTTTTTATTCAGGATGGTACGTGCTCCGTCACGTGGGTACCGCCAGTTCCAGGAGAATACAAAGTTCATGTGAAGCTTGGTGGAAAGGAGGTTCTTGACTCGCCGTTCAGTGTATTGGTGGCAGGTGAAGGACAGGTGGGTCTTTACTTGGTCGAAGCCTCGACAAGCAGCTTTACTGGGGCTCATTCTGGCTACTCGATATGCAGCAAAGGATACTCGTTACAGCACCTCATTATAGAATAAGAAAGAACCTTGAATGATTGAGGGAATAAACACTAGATTTACTGGCCTGCTTTAACGATGGCATCTACACGTTTTCAGGCAAGAAGTGTCTGAAGCGGTGTAAAATAACATTCATCAGGGATTGAGAAGTTGATCAAGTGACGCATGAGGGGGCGAAGGGACCTCCACAGAATTCAATGAAGTACTTTTCTCGGTACTTTTCAAAAAAAATTTGATTTTTCCATTTCTAGGTTCCCAGTGTGGCTGACTTATACCTTTCATAACTTGAAATTACCTAGTCATAACTCGTTCTTTTGGCCTTTCACTTGATCTTAATGAAATGTCGTTTTGAATAAGCGATTAAGGGTTGTACCAGGTGTGACATGG